GTCAATAGTCCGGTAGGTGTTCTTCTTGTAAATTGGAAACACAATCTCCATCTCCTCATGTCCGAAAAAAACATGTAAATTACAATAAAGAAACAGTTTCTTTGACAACACACACACGCACAGAACTGATGGAGAAATCAAACCTTTTCTGTGTGTTTTTACTGAGCTGGATATCAAAGATATACAGCCCGTCATCACAGCCTGACAGGAGGTGCGTGTCTGGAGACGTGGGGAGCAGAGAGAGATGCAGAGGAGTGGAGCCCGTCTCCAGGACTAGCAGCTTACTGTGAGAAAACTAAGAAATAAAACAGCTATGGAAACATTTGTAACAATGTAAATGCACATTTTAGCATTTCTAAATTAAGTATTAAAAACGTACTGAACAATAAATTATAAATAACCTGATTTTAAAGTTGTAATCACGATCCAGTCCTCCAATGTCCCACAAAAAGATCTTATTTTCATACGTCCCAGCTGTAATTAGAAATAAAGAGATTTTTATTTACATCTATATAGCTCAACTAAGCTATTATTTTGTCACTTAGTCTCTGTGTTCACTGTTTGCTTCACTCACTGAAGAGAAAGCTAGCGTTGCATGGACTGAAGCGCATAATGGAAATGGCATGTCGACTGGCACGAAACTCTCCAAATGCCAGGTTGACTCGGGGATGGATAAGCTTCACAAGACCCCTCTTACCCCCAGCTGCCAGGATATTGCAGGGACGGGCAGAGCCACCTGTCCTGGACATCAGCACCGTGGACCATGCTAGTGAGATGAACTCCTACAAGACAACAGTGGATGCAACATTGAATTTACAGGAACTGGATGCCAGTCAAATGCAGCCGGTTTGCTTTTAACGCTTGCAGAACAGGATAGGTTGGATTCTGTGGCATCAGTAGCTATGTTCAGAATGGAATCTCACTACATACAGAATACAGTACACTGTGTATTTTTATTAATAGAAAATGGAACAGTATGCATTATGCCAATATTATAGCTGTCGTTGTGCCACCCAGTTCATCTCAGGAACAATCTTAAACTCAAATTTTTTTTTTGTAATATTTAATATTACTTCCAGTATGCTCTAGAATTCAACCAACAAATGTGTTTTACCTATAATTTTCTTTTTTTTTTTTTTTCTGGAAAAAAAATCTTTATTTTTACTGAAATAACAAAAAAAACTTATGCTTAACTACTTAAGGTTTTCAAGAATTTTATCCTTCTGGGGCTTTTATCACTTCCTTACCTTGACTTTTTTAATTTTATCCCTCCAAAAAATACCAAAACGAATATGAATTCAGTACGTTTTTCCAAGTCACTGACACAGAAAACAAACAAGCGTCATGTCTTTGACTCACCTGAGGAACTTTGAGTTTGGCATGGGCAGTTTTCCGAGGTGTCTCGGTTTCTGTTTTGGCAGTTGTCTGTTTGCTCTGTTGAGCTGTAGACTGATCTTTAGCCGTTTTCCTCGGGCTCTCACATTTAGCTGGTCTTGATGTGGGCGTAGAGATGATAGACTTTGCTGCCTTTCTGGGGCTTTCAGCTTTGCTAGCACCTTTATTAGAAATATTTTCCAGGCGGCTTGATTTCCTTGGACTACCCTCTGGGGTGTCTACACTGGTCATTCTGGCATGCTTTCTGGGGCTGGGCATTATAGGGTCAGTCTTCTGTGGAGTGCTCATCACTCGTGTGGATTTTCGTGGACTAGCCTCAACCGGAGCAGCATTTGCCAGTCGACTCGACTTTCGTGGACTGGCCTCTGCGGCCACCTCAGAGTTCTTTCTGGCTCTTTTCTGAGGACTTGTAATACGGTTACCACCAAGATCACGAGTTCTTCTCTCTGCACGACTTTCTCCCTTGTGTCGTGTAAAAAAAAATAAAAAATATATATATATATAGATTTAATGTTTTCAAAAGGTTCCCTCGACACTGCATTAAATTTGGATGGAAGAAGGCATTTTAACTGTATGAAGCCTAACGTATCATATCTGACACAAAATTCTAAACTTTGCTTAAAAACCTGTTGTGCACAATCTTCGACATGCCTTCTGTCTGCTGACTGAAACTGAATACATTTTTAGGGCTTTTTAGTATAATCCTAAAAATATCTTCAGGTCGTGGTTCACGTGTATTTTAGCTGTGAAATGTTTTCTGATTGTTATAAAGTAAGCTGAGTAATATTTCAAGATAAACACGTACTGGACTGAAGCAACTTAGGTTTACTTGATTACACAATATAAAAAAAAAATAATGTTCAAATGTGAGCATTCAATATGATACATCAGGGTTTTGAGGATCGTTTATTTGTATATCTCAATAAATCATGTATTTCAGTGCATTTTATGTTTTTGTCCCAACATTAAACTTTTAAACTTAAATAATTCTTATTAAGACATTACTGGGAGATACAGAATGACAACTGATATTTATGTACATTTTATGCAAGTAATCTGCTGTGTTCTTATAAAGATAACATTGATTTACAAGCTATCATAATTTGATCATGCTTTTTGGACAGAGACTGCACCGAATTACATATTTTGCTCAGTTTTGGTCACTGAACAAAATTAAAGTGTTCGTCCCTAATGGAGTATGAGCAAAAATTCTCCTAGATCATACTATAATGAGCCATAGAAGCCTGATGTATCAAATATGACACTCAACAAAATGATGCTGATGGCTTTACCTCGTTCTCCTTTGTTGGAGTTGTGTCTGTGACCCTGCCTTCTTCTTCACTGCATGTCAGTGACTTCAAATATTCTTTTGCAGTCATTTCAACCTAAAAAAGCAGAAATGAGATGAGCTGAAATGCAACCACACTGAAGTAGGGTGACCATACATCCTCTTTTTCTCAGACATGTCCTGGCCAGGACTCCTAAATTGTTCAAAACGTCCAGGTTTTGGCTTTGTTTTCCTATTGTTTTCAAACTTGCTGTAGGTTTAGTAACAGTTTGACCAAAAGTGCGCAGGCATTGTACATAAGCAACCAATCATAGCATCCAAAAAGGAGACCGATCGACAGAGAACGGTCAAAACAATGCAAACACATATAGATATAATGTACATGAGGACTGTAAAGAGCATGTCAATAGAAAAATAAAGCCAAAACCCTGACATTTTGGCCAATTTAGAAATCCAGGCCAGGACATGTCTGGGAAAAAAAGGACATATGGTCACCCTAAGTGAATGATCTATGATTTCAAAATCTGTGTCAGGAGCAGTAAACGCAATATTCGCACTAGAGTACCCACCCTCCACTTTGTGTATTCGCTCAAGGAATTAGGGCCATATTTGATTTGGGTGCAAGCAGCATTAACAAAGCGCTTCTCCACAGCAGCCAGACTTTGTGCCGTAATGGGATCAGGGATACTGAAGCTTCGTTCCCACACACCAATCACCTAAAGGTTGCCAAAAACACATTCAAGAAACACTGCATAGACAAACTGATACGGTTGAAAGTGATAAGTGGAAGAATCTGTTCTCACCCTCTTCCTGAGGATCTCAGTGCTGCCATGGCAAATATGATGGGCCGTAGAGCTGATATTCTTCCCATTGAACATCCTCAGCTTAGGTAACAGGAAGATCACTTTGTGTTCATCATTGACCTAAAAAAAAAACCCACAATAAACAATTCATAGTTAGAACAAGATCCATAGTGTCTAAAATGCCACTAATAATGCTGTAGATTAAAAAAAACATGATTTTTGACATGTTAAAATGTGAGGATTGAATTTCAAAGCAAGATTCTCACTGTGAGGTAGAGGTTGTCCTCTAGTCTAAGTTCCTCTATGGTTCTCAGGGTTTCCAGCGACACTACGTCCTCCATATCGTTGTTTGAGCAGTTAAGGATCTTGAGGCAGAAAAAAAAAATTCACAATGTCTTCTACCTATGGAAGCTTGTTTTTGCCACAGAATAAAAAACGAAAAAGGTAATTGTGACTTTTTTCCTCACAATAAATTACTTTATCCGAATTAATCTGACTTTCACAACCACTTTTCTGACTTCCATAACCACTTAAAGATCACACTGCTAAGAAATAAAAGGTTAAAGGAATGCATTTAGTAGTTTACTCTCACAATTCACCTGTTTTCGACGGCCTGATTGAGATTCTCTCCAGACATCTTGATCCATTCTAGCAATCAGTTCATTCTCTTCATATTCTGACACAAAATTCTCCCACAAAAATATTCCTGGAAATGCAAAGGACTGTTGACTGCCGCTTTCCTCCTCTCGAACTGCTGACTTTGACACTGGATCATAGGTGAAATCATAAAGTATCTGCAACAGAATATATCATTTTTTCATATATACACTACTAAGGTTAGCATTTTTTAAGAAAACAATACTTCTGCAAGGATGCATTAAATTGATCAAAAGTGACAGTAAAGACATTTAAACCTTAAAAAGAATCCTTAAAAAATGTATCAAAGTTTTCACAAAAATTTTAAGCAGCACAACTGTTTTCAACATGAGAGGTTTCTTGAGCAGCAAATCAGCCTGGGTGAGCATAAGAGAATTATTCCAAAAACAATATTACTGTCAACAAACTTTTGAACGAAAGTGTGTTTAGCTTATTATTAGCACAATTTCGAGAGTCAGGGCAGAAAAAAGGTCTGTCTGAATTTGATTGGAGAACCCAGTTCGACTCAGTTGCTGCTGATGGCGATAGACAGCGTCGCTCATTTCAGCGCAAAATCCGCGTCCAGACGAGCGCTTGTTAACGTGTTGTGGACTCACCAGCTCGTTCTTCTGTAGTAAATGGTGTCTAGACTCCGCCTCGCATCTCAAGCATGTTCTTATTCCTTTACAACCACAGGTAATATTCTGCATCGCTCCAGTAGCCATCAAGTTACATTTGTGCATCATTTTAATGCGTCCCCTACGAAACAACTGAAGGTCCGAAATAGTTCCCACATTGAAAGCGACGAGTTTAACAAATCCATGAAACAAAGCCACAATGTTGAGATTCAAATAAATGCAAGTTATTGTATTTCATTACAAAAGTCCATTTATTAATAACAAAAAATAAACTACATCACAAATGAGTGGGACAATGAAGAGGAAATGATTTCCTTGTACACACATTTGGTGTGATGAAATATTTTCAAAGAATGTTCAGATTTGATCATTTCATTACACCAACATGCTTTGTTAGAAAATCAATATTGGAGAAGGAACCCCACAGATCTTAACCTCAATGTTGTTAGAAGCTGGTGAAGATCTCTTATTATTCATTATGAGAGCTTGTCAACTGACCTCTTAATATTTCATGAAAAAAAGGGAATATTGTAGCCCATTATAGAAACGGAGTTCTCAAGATTTACAATTCAGTCCATTGTGAATCAGTTGTTGTGTTCCAATGGAGTGTGATGGTCTTCATTCTATTCCCTCTTGTTTGTCTTTGATGGCAACCTACAATAAAAGTCACATCAATTTCTGGAATATACAACACGGACTCCTCAACACAACAGTTCTCATTCACTAATAACTGTGTGGATTATTTGTACTAAAACAGGAGAACTTCTTACGAAAAAATTCTAATTTACAACACAAACATTTGTTCTTAACCTGGTTCTAATGTTAATGAATTTGGAGTATTGTAAATGAGCGGCAACATGCCTGAGGTTAATAATTTGCATAAAACATGCCCAAATCATATCCATATACAGCCTTTCGTTACTCTCAGCAAACATATGCCACCCTCTAAAGATGCACAGCAAGATATTCAAACAATGCCAAGTAAGCCATCATTAAACACAAACAGCTGTTCATTCAATTTAAAATTATTGAACCAAATCTGGGTGTGAACAGGCCTTTATACACTTAAATTTCATACCTGGAGTTCTAGATTGTTCAAATCCATTACTATATGTATGAGCTAATAGTAATAATAGTGATGCTTGCCTTAGCAAACACCACTAATAAAACACAGCACCCCTCACTGAACTGAAACAGACTGCTATGCACATGTCACATACCCTGAATCGCTCCTCCAGAAGGGACAGTTCACTGATCAGATCAGTGATGGCATTAGTGAAGGCTTCCTGGGGACTGTAGTCTGGTGTCGACTGAACACGGATCACTATCTTGTGCTCCAGAGGATGAGGAACCTTATATCCAGCAAACAGCACCTGAGGGTCCTTCAGCAGTTGCCTTACACAAAAGTGGCAAAGGTTGAATACACAAACCAACAAGAGCATCACCGTGATCACAAAGACTCAGATATGTTTGGCCATCAGATGCTTGTGCACTTACGACCGGATGATGTTCCCCAGTGTGTGATCCTCTTTATTCAGTGTAAACAGACATGCATTTGGCACCTTCGTGTCTTTAACTATTGTGATCCTGTAAAGGAAGTTGAACAGGGATATTAGGTGATTGCTTCCCTTTACAAACAGTACTGTGAGGGTACCATGGTACAATGATGGTAATAATACGGTACTTTGAAATATACACTATAGTAATTTACATGGTATAGGCAAGGCAAGTTTATTTATATAGCACGTGTCATACACAATGGTAATTCAAAGTGCTTTACATAAAATAAATGAAAAAAAATAATTTAAAAAAAGTAATCACAACAACAAAACAAGGAATTTACTAAAAGATGTCATGGTACAATGTCCAAAAACGTTTGTTTCTATATTTACATTTGTGTGTGCATACACAATGGTAATTCAAAGTGCTTTACATAAAATAAATGAAAAAAAAATAATTAAAAAAAAGTAATCACAACAACAAAACAAGGAATTTACTAAAGGATGTCATGGTACAATGTCCAAAAACGTTTGTTTCTATATTTACATTTGTGTGTGTGTGTGTGTGTGAGTGTGAGTGTGAATGAAGAAAGAGAGACCATAACAAAAAAAAGTATATATATATATATATATATATACACATATTTGGGTCTAGTGGATAGCCTGTAAAATAAAAAGCGTAGTCTGAGGTATCTATAGAGTGATGTAATGAGAACAAAAGCTAGTCAGACTCCTAACAGATAGACTTACTTGTCGTTAGCCAACAAGCTCAACACTTTGCAAGCTAACTCCTGTATTCCAGCTGACTGCCTTTGTTTCATTACAGCTTTAAGTTAGTTCAGTTAGTATCACTTAAAAGTTAAAACTGCGGTGTACTGCACTTACTTCTTTTCTCCCTCAAATAGCAAAAACGACTCGAATGCCGGTGGCGCGTTCATCCTGTTTGAAACCCTGCAGCGACGAAGCTAATGGACGCACACTGTACGACGCATGCGCATTACACGGCGTGAGAATGTCAGTATTTAAGTGCAGTGTTGAGTGAAGATCGCTGGAGGGCAGCGAAGAGCTGTAGATAAATTACTTAGCTAAATATAGTCTATATTTTACAGTTTTCAACACACTGACACAAAAGTGTCATACATCTTTCTTTATAAGTTAAATTCGTTCTGATATTCTTTCTTTATAAACAGATTCTTTCTTTATAAGTTAAAATGGTAGGAAAATAATACAATTTTTGTCATATCACCAAATTACAATGTTACTACACTGTAAAAAATGACCGTGAATTTAATGGTAAAAGACTGTAAAAATGCTACAGTAAAAGCCTGTTAAATGGTTAACGGTAAATTCCCCTACTATATACGGTGAAAAACTGTATTGGACATTACATGTATTGGACATCAATTTTACGGTAGTATACCGTTTTTGGAAGTGAAAAAGACTGTATAATTTACAATGAATAACCGTAAATTGACATTCCCAGAATTCCCTGCATTACATTTAAAATTTTATGTTTTTTTGTTGAAATAACTATGTTTCTTCTGAGTTTTTTCTTATCAGTTTTGTATATTAGGGTTGTGTGTTACACCTAATGTTGTTAAATGAATGTTTATTGCATTATTTCAGTTTCATGTGTGTTACCATGATGGTGTTTAGTGTTTGTGTGAATGACACTGTGCACCTTCTATATATGTTATTATTTAAAAGCTGCTTGTGATGGGCTTTGGTTCATCATGTGACTCTCTCATCACCTCCTGCGTTGGGTGGTTATCAGTGTATTACAAAGGTACAAAACAGATTTCAGTACTTCAATAGGTTGGTATATTAACATGATATCAAATTAAATTACGGTATTTAACTGTAAATTTAAGTTAAAACCATAAAACCTAAAGCATTGCTACCGTATTTTTTTACGGTAAAATTCCGGTAACCACAGCTGCCGGTTTTTTACCGTAAATTTTACGGATCTTTTTTTACAGTTGTTACGACCGTCTAGGGCCAGTGGCAACATAAATGAAATGCGCACTCACTCCCAAGATATTAGCAAACAAAAAAAATATTTATTAACAAACTTATAATAAATATAAGTAACAAAGGGAACAAATTCAGGAGTGGACAAGGCCAAAATAACAAACAAAAATTAACTAATTTTGGTATACCCTTTAAATTCTCTAACCAAAATAAAACATAAAAAAAAGAATACAACACAACTTCCCTAACTCCCTTAACCCAAAACATAGAGCAAACCATAATAAAGAAATGGCATCACACTCCCTACTTCCCTTAAACTAAATACAATTGGAAATCAACTAAAACAAGAGCAAGTTTTACACAGTATGCACAATCACAAAAGAACCTCAAGACAAAGCAAAACAAATGGCAGGCATTCGGCCTCCTAGAGTGTTTGGGGAGGTCCTTTTCACTGGAACCAGGACAGGACCAATCAGGATCTCTGCTGGCTTGCGTACAGGCCACGCCTTTTCCTGAACAGACACACTCAGAAATACATACACAATTCAAAAGACCCAAGATGCAACACAGTGTATGGTTAATTGAAGTAATGACATAATAACGTTTTGAAAGCTGTAATTACACACACACACACACACACACACACAGCCTATATACAGTAGTCAACATTTGAATTGGATCAAAAAAGTTAATCAAAGTTGTCCTAAGACAAGAATGCATTTTGGTTTTAGGTTTTAGGACAGCTTTGATGAAAGGTTTTGATCCACTTCAAATGTTAACTGCTGTATATGTGTGTGTGTTTGTGTTGAATTAGAGCTTAACCATCTTATAGTAACATTAGTATTATTTTCCTACCATTTAAACTATATTTATTATATTTATTTCAACTATTTGTATAATTTATATCATTATATATTTCTTTCTTTGTCCTTCCACACACTCTAAAATATGTTTTTAAAAGGTTCTTTATACATTGTAACAGCTCTATTTAGAACCATATTGTCGAAGTGTTTATATGCTGAAATGTTGTTATGCTCCAGTTTAGGGTTCTTTATTCACGCCTCTTTTTTTTCTTTTTGTCAAATGTGTAATGTCAAAAAGCCACTATTACTGATTTTTGGGAGTTCAATCATCCAACTACACAGACTGTCAACACAGTCTCAACAGGTAAATCATTTAATTGTTAAAATGTCTATACATTTAACTTTTGAACGGTAACTGGTTTCGTATCAGTCTTGTGTTTTTCTCTTTTTATTTATTTGTTTGTTTGTTTCTAACAATGTTTAGTTGAGGATGCTTCTCTCCTCTTCTCCACTTAGCAGGGGTGGATCTAGAAAATGATTTTGAGGGTGGCAAGGGGGTGGCATGAGGACTGTGAGGGGTGGCAACACCAAAGCAAACAGGCATTCAACCATCTACACTTAATCTATTGTATACAACCTCTATACTATTTAAAAACAAAATATAGCTGCAAGCAGCAATCATCTGTGTCCAAACACCTATGTGCATGTTTGGTGATCTAACTGAAATGAATCTCATGATGTGGTTTTTACAGGAAAGTCCAACTTGAATGTTCACTGAACAGGTTTGATGAAACAGGTTACAGCAACACACAGCTGTCAAAAAGAGCAACTGACTTTCAAAAGAAATCACTCACTCTTATTGTTTCATGTTTACTGTCATAAGGCATGTGATCATAGTATATGTGGAGTAGGTGTGGACTTATATTAAACATTTAAATTTAGACAAATCACATGTCATAGGACACCAATTTCAAATGACTGTGAATATATGATTTGCGATAATTATGTATAGCCTAACTTATGCTTGCAGTTTAGGTGTTCAATAGTCAATATGTGCTTTTATAGAAATTATATATTATCTTGAAAATGACTAATACAATGGTCTCTTCATTTTAAATGGATTGAAATATATTTAATTGAAAATATGTTTTATTGGGGTCTAAAATATTGAAATAAATATTTAATGATCTGTAAGCATTTCACAGATTTCAGTGTACACTTATTATATAAAACTATACTGTCAGTAAAACATATTCATACATATGAACTAAATCTATGGATTTATTTCAATTCAAAGGGATAGAAAAAACTGATAGAAAAAGATTAGACTTAAAAGATTCTTTATCCTGTGCCCCCTAGTAAGATTCAGGCTACTTAGTGGACAACACTCATATATCGTCATCTTTCAGTTGAAATGGCTGTTAGTTAAGGATTGTCAGTTAGCATGGTAAATTAATTAGGGATCCAATTGACCTTTTATCACCTATTGACCCAATTTATCCAGTTATTTGCACCCCTAATAACAAAATATCAAATTCCAAGGCACCAAGACGTTGTCTATTAATCACGCAACACATTCTAAATATCTCTAAGTTCGTTAGAGTAGGTCTACCACCATATACATAAATTCTTATTCATATTTTTTTTTAACAGGCCTGTTGTGCAGTAAAAACAAATACTAATGCTGAATATCAGGGTTGTGCAACAATCAAAGTTTTAAATGAATAATTCAACTAGTCAGTCATATATACTGTATTTTCAATAGAGAAAACCTAATTTTACAGCCACAGACATGACAGGATCTCTTGTTCTAACTTGTTCTCATGACCTATGATTGAACTCATGAAGTGTTTTTACTCTTTAATTTTAACATATGATTCACACATTTTACAATTCATTTCTCCATGGTGAGTAAAATATAAACTGTGATTTGGCAATTCGGAAAGTGTCCTTTGAGGAAATGAGATCATGGACATTCTTCTTGGATTTTTGTTATTAAAGCCCAATAGGTCTCAAAGCAGTTCTTAGAGGTTATTAGTCATTCTTTATGGTAATCTATGAAAAGTAGCAATGTAAGCACTATCTATAGTGTCTAGGCTGGGAAAGACCAAAGCAGTGAGGTAGTCACAATCTCCATTTGTTTTCTTCATTCACCTGTTTCCATAGTTAATAGTTATAAAGTTACTCAGCTGCCACATTATATCAGGAGAAGACTGTATAAATGCAAGAAGATTGTGTTGTTATCATAAAATGATTTTTAATGAACCTTGATGACCGTCTAAAGTCAAGTGATGTCATAGTAAAGTATGAGTTATATTTCACACAAAGTCACATGAAAAAAGAAAATGATTGGGAGAAAAATGAAATGAGAAGTTATACGACAAACAGTCCAGACATCAATGAAAAACAGCAAAAGAAGTGGGTGTGTGTTTATGTACGGGAGTATATCTAGTGTGGGTGAAAAAAATGTCATGAAGGAATCATGCAGACCACGAGTCTTTCACAAATTTCTTCACTTCTTCCACATTTGATGCTACTTCAATAATGACTCAGAGCCAAAATGTTTACTTTTTATTATTTTGTTAATGTGGTAACATGCCTTCTGAAAACTGTCACTATCACAAGGAATCTTATTTAAGGTGTTCATGAATAGCAGTATTTTTGTTTATTTATTTATTTTTTTGGTATAAATTTGCCTTGTATCTTACCTGAAAAGCTGAACATTACTTAAAATGACTGCATATTTACAAACAAATAAATAGTTTGTAGTTACAATATGGTAATTAATATTAATAAATATTAAATACAGTGACAAATTGATGTCTGTTGTGTAGTTTAGGTGTTTGATGCTAATGACCCCCAAATGATCCCCTTTTGAGGGACCCTCTTCCAAAAATATAAATGCAGCAATATAATTTGTAAAAAGACATATGAGGAAAGAAACTGAATAGAAATTAAATGTGGCCCTGGCTGCATTACTGTTTTCTACTTAAAATCATCCTTCATAAAGGTAAAGAACATTCTGTGAAAATGTAACCTTGATATCTTTAATATTGACCGAGTAAGGCCATATCAAATTTTGAAACCATGGTGAAATTAATGGTTGAAATCAAACGTTGATGCCAGTTATCTCATAATTAGATTTTGACAGGGTCACAAATAGTCTGCTTTTATATAGTTACTGTACTGAAGCCAATAATAAAAAAAGACTTTGTATTAGAGTTATGTTAAATGTATAGACCAGAATTCTATTTATGCAGCACTTTTCATAATAAATATCAGTCCAGAGCACTGATAGCCTATTTATTGCTATCCTCAATCTCTGAAAGCCGCAGAACTTTTCATTTTTATTTTTTTGCGTTTTGCATTTTGTGGTGTGTGGTTCTGTATGTCATCACAATTCTTTTAAAATCCCCTGTGAAATCTTCTAGCTTGAGAAACTCTGTCACTATAGGAAAATAAAAGAGAAAATGATTATGAAGCTTTTATAAAATGACTTAAGAAGCAGTGAGGTGTTTCATCAACAAAAGAGTCATGTCTGTTTCCAACTAGCAATATTCAATGATATATAACTACAAAGCAATTTGAAGAGATCAAAAATAGGAATAAGCCATAAAAGACCATGACCACTTGAAAAATTAGTTTGTTTTTACATTTGCTTCCTTCTCTTTTTCAGTAAACAAGGACCTCTAAAGACAAATATGTGAACATGAGGAACTGCTCATAGAGAACATCTGCATTAACTGTGCACTAACTATGAAAAACAAAACAATTACATATTTGAAGAGGTTATGCCAGCTCTCTATAAAGCATAATATAGATAAACTATATATAGGCCTATAGTATATATGAAGAGTTTGGTTCCATAACGCGATAAACGCCATTTAAAAAAAATTTGAGTTCCCGCCAAAATCAGTATTGTATCTGGTCGGTATCGAAAAGTCAATTTTTAATTTTACGCAAAATGCGATATATCCGCCGTGTTATTCTGTCATGTTTTCTCCCTATCTTTCCAAACCGCGACAAACGCCAGTCTCGGTTTCTCTCTCTGCAGAATGCATACACCTGCTCAACCAATCACAGCTCCCCATTCCACGCATTGTAAACAGTAACTGACAAGCTACGCAATATTCGTTCATAATCGCAGATGAATCGCCTTCGATTATGAACACGATATTGCGTAGCTTGTCAGTGATCTACGGCTCTGTGTATTAAATGCAGCTCCATCTGAAAGCATGTGATGGAGATTTACTACTAATCACAGAACATGACAATCGCATGCGATTTATGGTGCAGCCCTAAAAAATGAATAATTTTGACGACATTGATGAACCTGTGGTGGTTTCTGCGGTGAAAACACATTTTTACTCAAATTAATCAAAATGGATTTATAGTGTTTTGGAACCAAACTCTTCAAATATATATATATATATGCACATATTTATAGATCTGTCTTTAACACAGTCATTTTAAAGGGATAGTTCACCCAAACATGAAAATCCTATCATCATATAGTCACCCTCAAGTTGTTTCAATTCGAGTCTTTTTCTTCTTCTACTGGACACAAAATAAGATATTTTGAAGAACGAGTGTAACCAAACAGTCTCTAGTACCCACTGACTTCCATAGTATTTATTTTTCATGCTATGGAAGACATTGGCTACCAGCAACTGTTTGATTACAAACATTCTTTAAAATATCATATTTTGTGTTCAACGGAAGAAAGAAATGCATACAGGTTTGGAGCATCTTATGGGTGAGTAAACGATGACAGAATTTCCATTTTTGGGTGAACTACTGTAACTCATTAAAAAAACACTTTGTCTCTAGTACAAGAGGCAAGTTATTTATTTTTCATTGGCTCAAATTAAAAAATATAGATGTGAATCATTACCCTAAATTTTTTTAATTGGATGAATGAAACATTTTTTTCAGCGTATGTAGTATTTTTATTGTTCAATTGATTTATTGTAATTTATTTTCCCCATTGCCCCTTTAGCATCTTTCTAGAAAGACCAATACAGTTCCTTAAATAGGATTAAAATCACAAAAAGCTGTACAATTAATACATGGGGCCCCTTCCTTAATATTATAATACAAAGTAATGTTCTGTTCTTAGGCTGGGCTTGGGGGTCTTTACTTATTATCTTTCTAGTGTTTTAATTTACTTTATTGATTGATTAAATCAATTGACTATTTTCCTTCATATACATTAATTAAAATATGTACTGTATTCTGCAAAATAGTGTCGGGTCTTTACTTATTATCTTTCTAGTGTTTTAATTTACTTTATTGATTGATTAAATCAATTGACTATTTTCCTTCATATACATTAATTAAAATATGTACTATTGTGTATTCTGCAAAATAGTGTCTGGTGTAAATACATTCCTTATCATCCAAAATATGTTAATTATCACACATAAATAAAGTTAAATACACTTACTGTAAAATGTTAAACACATAACTAATTCTGAAGTTTCCTATCTGTATTTCATCATCAGGTTGTGATGACCAGGAGTGAGAAAGGGAGTGCTTGAGTGGTCGCCCCTCCCACTGTCATAGTCTATAATAACTCCATAAACCACAGGTGATCATAACAGCAAAGCAGACTCTCTAATACCCCTTCACTTCGTGCTCAGACCTCTGTTGTGCAGGATGGCTGAATCTTATGTGCGACTCGTGGAACTGTTAGGCTTTGAGAAAAGATTCTTCCCCAGTCAGCACTATGTAAGTAAGCGGCTCCAAAATTGTGAAGTACAGAAAACAAGTTGTGTTTTGAAGGTTGTCAAGGATGTTTTAGTTATAAGATATAGTAAAACGGTTTCTTTTTCATTCCTTGTACTAAAGGTGTACATGTTCCTGGTTAAATGGAGTGATCAATCTGAAAAGGTGGTGTACAGGCGCTATCCAGAAATCCACACATTTCATGTAAGTCTCGTTTTCTATTCTCTACAATTGAAAGTATAGTAGAGTGTTACATTTCCCTTTCCCTACCTGATTTCATTTGATTTCATCGCTGCAAGAATTTCCTGTATTTGTATCTATGTCATATTTATATAAAATGATTTTCTGTAAGCTATAATCAGTTATTTTTTATTTTTACAGAAAACTTTGAAGGAAATGTTCCCTATTGAGGCAGGAGACATTGAGGCAAAGGACAGAATCATTCCCACATTACCAGGTAAAGGCTTTTGTGATTAAAGCACAGATCTTCAGCTCATTTGACCCATTTTCAGAAAGAACAAAACGACATATCATAAATGATTTACTAAGTTAACAGCATCTACAGACTTACGGCAAGCAATAAATGTGTCATAATAATGTGATAGTTTCATTTTTCAGACAATACAGAAATAGGTTTTGGTTCTCAATGTTCCTAAGAGAGGAGGAAACACCTGCTTAATGTCAAGCATATCAGATATATACGCTTATTTATTTAGAGGTCATGAATGTTAAAAGAGGTCTATTTGTATGTCATGCATTGACATGTCTTGTTTTTTTTAGTACGAGTTTCAGTTCTGCAAAACATTTTTTACGGGGATAAGCTGTATTTTCTTTGGACTTTCCAGCATTGTAGGCAAGATAGAGATTGTAACCATGAGGTCAAAAGAGTTTGTGCAGCATGACCATACCACAGTGTTGAATTTCTCACACTGTAACACTGATTTGTACATAATATACAATATATAATATACAAGAATTCCAAAATGTGTCATATGCAGTATACACTGAATAGCCATTTAAGTGTACTCAGTTATAGCAGGCAAAATAAATGTTGGAATCATTAAGTCAAAAGAGTTTGTGCAACACGACCATACCACAGAGTTGCCTTTATTAAAGCAGCACTATGTAACTTTTTACGTGTTCAAAATGATTCGGAATAAGAAAAAAACGCGGTTTGGAAGATGAATTCATGATGTACTCGCTCATTATATACATTTTACACATTTTGAACACAGAAAAAGTTACATAGTGCTGCTTTAAGACAATACAAGTCAAACGTTCCATCTGATGATCTGTCATGAAATCTCTCTCAGCTCCTAAATGGCTCGACAACCAGAAAACGACAGAGACGAGGCAGGTGACTCTCGCTGAATACTTTCGCTCTCTTCTCAACTTGCCTCCGAAGATCTCCCGCTGTCAGCTTGTACGTGACTTCTTCAAAATGCGGCCTGAAGATGAAACTCCACCAGCACCACATCCGTAAGTCTGTCAGGTTAAAATTAGCTGGAGCTGTGGCTTAGTGGTTATTCACATGCTCTTACAGCACATGATGTTCACTGATCGTGTCCCTACTATACATTTTAAAAGGCCATAAAATAATAAAATGTGCAACTGTGCTTTTTTACTACAGAAAATTTCTTTTTGACTTTTACCTTTCTATAGATACAAAAGAAATGAGACATTCATTATGTCCACAAACAGAGCACGGAGCAACACCACATCAGGTAAGATCAAATTCTACTTTTGATATAATTTATCTGCAAATGCCTTACACAATTTCCCGAAAGGTTTTATAGCTGTTGTTCTTTTTGCAGAGATCACAGGCCCTATCATGCTTGAGAGCTACAGAGTGATTGCAGACTACAGCAAGAGCTCAAAGTATGAGCTCTCTCTAAAGATGGGAGACATGGTGGACATTGTGGAAAAAAGCCCAAATGGTGAGCAGGATGTAAAATATGGCTGTACTAAAATATATATTTTATTTTTTATTAACAATTTGAATTCAAAATACAATGACATTTTAATAGTAAATTATATACAATAATAAAATTTGTATTATATAAAGAAATTAATACTTTTATACTTATATAATCAGCAAGAACAAGATTAATTTGATCAAAAGTGACAGTAAAAACATTTATACAAAATGTTTGCTATTTATTTTTTGCCACAAAAATATTAAGCAGAACAGTTTTCAACATTGATCATGATTAAAAAAAAGTATTTTGATTTGCCATCACAGGAATTCATTTCACTTCAAAATATAATAAAATTGTTATTTATTATTATTATTATTGTACTGTATTTTTTATCAAATAAATACAGCCTTGGTGAGCTTGGTCAAACATTTTAAGAAATCTTATACCAACCCCAATCTTGTGAACAGTAGTGTATAATATATAATACACATGTTAAATTACTTACTAATATTCACGTAGCTCTCTTCCCACATTTTCACATATTAGTAAAGGGAAAAGCAGGTCTGAATTGTGATGTGATCTGATGTTTACAGGCTGGTGGTTTTGCCAGTGTGAGTCCAGGAGAGGCTGGGTGCCAGCTTCATATTTAGAGCCTCCGGATGGAGCAGAAGAATCAGAGGAACCAGAGCCTAATTATGCAGGTTAGTGTGTTTTGCTATGTTTACTGCCACTGATATGAGACCCAAAACACTATTTTGGGAGTGATTGATTATGCTATTTGTATTGTACTGATGATATTTACCCACGACAGGAGAGCTCTACAGAACCACTAAAGGGTATAAAGCTGTTGAAGTGGATGAGTTGACTCTCGAGGCAGGAGAGATGATCGAGGTCATCCATAAACTTCTTGATGGGTGGTGGGTGGTCAGGTATGAGTCAACCTCTCTAAATTGAACTTGATGGTGTTTTGAAACAATCGAAATGCTTGCAGTCATTTGATGAGTCATAATTGAATCAGATTCCCAAATGTCTTATACAGGAAAGGAGAAGATACAGGCTTCTACCCATCTATGTTCCTGTGCAGGATGGGAGAGAGGAAAGAGGTGGATGCTGAGAAAAATGTGGTCAGTAGAGCAACACCACCACCCAGAAGGTAGAGCAATATGTCTATGAAGTGCCACACATAAGATAATAATACCTGAACACTTTGGTTGATCATCATTTACAAAATATCAGACTAAAACTTTTTTTTTTCAATTTATTTTGGCCAACAGGTCTACCATTCGCAATGCCCACAGCATCCATCCTAAGGGACGTCAGCGAATCAGTCAGGACAGCTATCGAAGACAGAGTCGACGGTTCTTACAGCAGCGAGGAAGACTAAACTCCCAATCCAGGCTTGTGACACGATCTCCACTGCAGGAGAGGAAGACAAACAGAGGTGTGCATTCTCCATAAAGAAACATAGTGCCTTATAGTGGGATATAGCAGACAGATAAAAAAATTATATATTTATGCAAATATTTTTCTTCTTTATTATATTTGTTGCTTTTATATGAACACTAATATATCTATCAATGATATAGATAGATTTTTGTGTACTGATTGCAGGTTTTACAGTAATTCTATAATTATATTTACATAATTATTTCCTCACACAGTAACTGTTCCATTCGTCTCTTTATGTGGTTCTAACATTAATGCATTGCCTGCCAAATATGTAGCTCTGCTTGACAAAGGTTTTGAAAAGATCAGTTTTACAGACCAGGATATATATATATATATTTTTTTTTGCTTAAAGTGTATTCTGTTTGTGTTTGTGTAGAGAACATCGTAAAATCAGGCTCTCCTCAAGCAGAAGATCTGGATAAAAGTATTCCAGTCATTCCTCCTCGGCCCAGTCCTCAGCTCATTCTGGAGCGCTGCACTGAGAACACATGCAAGAGAATCAGCATCCATGAGGCCAACTGAAGTGATGATGATGATGATGTGTTCAATCTTGATTTCAATCTGTGTTAAAAATGGTCACGGCATTCAGATACTTGTTTATACAAATGCTCTGTTCATTCCTGCTTAGGCCAGAACCTGTTATAAGCTATGCGTTAAGAGATTTTATACGTGTAACGTTTATGTCATATTCCAGAATGCATTTTTATGACTTGCTGTGTTTGTTGATGTTTTTGTAAACAGTTAAATAAGTAAATAAATCATAATTTGCCAATCAAATGCATGGTGATGATATGATGAGAAATTCCATTGTGCTGGGAGATGGTCAGTTGGTAATATAGTACATGATTAACATATTTATATGAATATTAATATAATTACCATATTAATTTACCACATGCCATGGTAGCCTACTACCAAAGTTCCTGTCCAAAAACCCTAGGCAGTGCCATGGATCTTCTGGTACTTTCTGGTAATGTACTTTTGCTCAACTTTTCTTTGTGTACAGGAACAAAATGAACGAAAAACAGAAGTTAACTTACTCGAATATAATTGAAAACACAGGACACGTCCGTCCTCTATCGGTCACTTCGACAATTACTTTACTAGTGTGTGTGTGTAAGAGTGGGCACAGTGGAAAGTAAAGGGAAAAACAGCAGAGAAGAGACTATTTGAACCAGATTGAATTATAGGACACAGTAAATAGCACGGTTTATGTGTCCCAACATATGAAATTCAAAGGATGATCTTGGTAAAAGACATGGCGGAAATAGGATTAACTAGACGTGGATTAAAGAACATAACGTACTGGAATGCAGTAGGAGCGGACAAGGAATTAAACATTTGATTTGTGTTTTTGACTAAAACGGGACTAAAATCAAGAATATGAAAAAACGAAACAAGATGCTGTATATGGGAAGTAACTAGCTCCAGACGATAGCGGTGCAACACCAAGGCTGCAAGCTGCCATTAAAACCAAAAGAAGAAGAAGTAGTTTGCGTGTACGTCATGCGTCACACGTCGTACGTCGACATGGCTGCCTCCACAGAAACATGTCTGAGCAGCACAAAACACAGAGTAGACGAATTTCACATTATATTACTGTGTATGTTTCATTTCAGCCGCCGAGCCAGTTCGGAGAGTCGCAGATATGCTCATGTGTCAATCATATTATGTGATAGGAAGTATTTGAAGCGGGGTGTCAAATAAATTATAGAGGATTTTTCGATCATTGAGCGCGAGTATTGAGTTCACCAAACAAAATAGAGTACAGAATGCTCTGGTATTATATAGCAATACAGTGTACTTTATATATTTCATATACATATACCATGATACCTGTGACCAAAAGTCATGTTAATATTACTTTGTAAATGTGATTACCATATTTATGTATTTATTGTTTTTACATGCTGCTCCAAGGCACTTAAGAGAATACCAGATATAGAACTACCATGATGAATGCTACATAAATAAATAAAAAAAAATAATATAAAATCATGCTTATGCCATGGTATTTCATGTTAGTGTTGGATAATCCTCTATTAATTTCACTAATATTCAGTATTGGTATAAAGTATATCAGAGTTTATGTTGGAATTTTGTGTATTATGCAGGTGACTGTCATAATGGCTTTAGTCAGCCTTCGCTCCTGTGGCCGTCGTGGTTTTCATCTGGGTCTCAGTGCGTATGTCACTCGACCAGTTGGCACCCCAAGAAAGCGGGAGCAGCAAGATGACACCCCCGTGTTCCAGTATGTGGGGCAACACAGGAAGCCCCAAGGCAAGGTGTTTGTGTGGGGCTACACTGGAGCTTTAGGGATCCCTAGCTTTGTAGTGCCGGACAGTGGCAGAAAAAAGCCCAGGAAGTACCAGCTCACACCTTACCGCCTGGATACTGAACAGAAGGTGATGTTCTACATAAACAAAAAAGTACCAAAAATGTGATAAATATTTTGAACACTGCTGTTCAAAAGTTTAGGGTTGTTAATATTTAATTGTTCATGTTAGTGTTGGATAATCCTCTATTAATTTCACTAATATTCAGTATTGGTATAAAGTATATCAGAGTTTATGTTGGAATTTTGTGTATTATGCAGGTGACTGTCATAATGGCTTTAGTCAGCCTTCGCTCCTGTGGCCGTCGTGGTTTTCATCTGGGTCTCAGTGCGTATGTCACTCGACCAGTTGGCACCCCAAGAAAGCGGGAGCAGCAAGATGACACCCCCGTGTTCCAGTATGTGGGGCAACACAGGAAGCCCCAAGGCAAGGTGTTTGTGTGGGGCTACACTGGAGCTTTAGGGATCCCTAGCTTTGTAGTGCCGGACAGTGGCAGAAAAAAGCCCAGGAAGTACCAGCTCACACCTTACCACCTGGATACTGAACAGAAGGTGATGTTCTACATAAACAAAAAAGTACCAAAAATGTGATAAATATTTTGAACACTGTTGTTCAAAAGTTTAGGGTTGTTAATATTTAATTTAATGTTTTGAAGAAGTTTTATATATCTACATTTGTTTTGTTAAAAATACAGCATTATTCTGAAATATTATTACAATTTAAAATAACAATTTTCTATTTTAATATATTTGAATGTGTAATATATTCCTGTGGTGGCAAAGCTGAATTTTCAGCAGCCATTACTCCAGTCTTTAGTGTCACATGACCCTTAAGAAATTAATCTGATATTGTTTTTTTTTTGTACTTTATCATTATAGTATTGCTTAATATGCTTGTGGAAACCGTGATGTGTTTTATAGAATTCTTTAATGAGTAGAAAGTTTAAAAGGACAGCAGTCATTTGAAATCTTTGTATCATTATCAATGTTTTTACTGCCACTCTTGAACAATATAATGAGTCCTGGCTGAATAAAAATGATTTTTTTTTGTTTTGAATGGTAGTATGTTATGTTTGTATTTTGGTAGATTTCCTCAGCAGCCTGTGGATATGGCTTCACCTTATTGGCATCTAATAGCAGAGATCTGACCAAATTGTGGGGCATGGGCCTTAAGAAAGACTCCCAGCTGGGCTTTCAACGTACTCAACACGACCGATGTAAGAAACCCCAAAATACCATTGCACTCCTGTCAGTAACTCCGATGCTCACGGTAAAACATTTCCATCAGTGGTTTGAAATAATTACCACATTAATTCCAAGGTACTTTAAAAAACACTGCAGTTTCGTGATACTTTTTTGTTGGGGAAGTAGGGTTGTTACAGTAAAACTTTTCTTCTCTGTTCTTCTCTGATGGTAGCTAATGTGAAAGTGTTCATCAGCACTTCCTACTGAACATGCCATGGGAAGATTCATGTAGTGGCCGTTGATGATCCACTCAGTTCCTCTTTAAAGGAATGAGCTGCCAACTGAATCTACTGGAACCATTACAACTATCACCAAACAACCTTTTCCTCAAGAACATTGTCTTGTGTTTGCAGATAAGAGTTACGACTATGTCCTGGAAGCGTCGCCAGTGTCTCTTCCGCTGGTGAACCCTCAGGAGACACGAGTGCTGCAGGTCTCATGTGGACGTGCTCACTCACTAGTGCTCACAGACTCTGAGGGAGGTCAGCAAACACTGCTTTGTCGTATAACCTTTCTGCGATTTATTGTCATTATAGAGCACCTTTCTGTAGCGCGAGGTCTTTTCAAAATGATTAAAGTTGCATTTATAGGCGCTCAGGTTCTATATAAAGTCAATACATTTAAAATAAAATGAAATCATTGGGCTCTCGTGTGAGGAGTCCTTCATGTCTCTCTTTCTCTCTCATTAGTTTTCAGCATGGGTAATAATGCTTATGGGCAGCGTGGGAGGAAGATTGTGGAGGATGAAGTGTACAGGTTTGTCCTTCAGCAGTATAAGTCCAGTGTTTTTCACCAAAGGACTCGATTTCACATTATGTTGTGGTGGCTAAACCAAAACAATTTCTTTCCCTGTATCCCATTAGCTTTATATTTTAACTGCGGTTTATGTCGGTTTTATTTCATCAGTTGCTTGGAGTGAAATGATTATTCAGCATGACGGGGGAATGCTCGTCATTGTCCCTTTAAAGTTTTTGTGGGTTTATGATTTGAGCAGTAACATTAGAGGCAATCCGATCAATCAAATACTAACCATTTTAGCCAAGAAGAGCATGATATGTACTCTGGTTTCATTTGCTAATAAACTTTCTGAGCATAAAGCTGAAGCTGCTTTTATTGAAATTTTATTTGAGAGTGGCAATCCTTTTCTTCTGTTCCCTGCAGTGGCAGTCATGTTGTTCACAAGATTGAGGGCTTTGACAGTCGAGACACCCAGTTATGTGATGACATTTAGTACTTTAGCATGATACAGTACATTGATGAATTCATAGCTGATAGTAAATGCAACTATATCAACATCTAAATATATTTCTTACAGACTCAATATTCTTAGTAGTTATAATAATTCCTAATCTAGTTTTGTACTCGCATTCTTTTGATGGAAATAAACAGGTATCGAATTTGAATCTCAGAAGTCCTATTGTGTCATTTCAACCCAAAATCAAAAGAAATAATTACCCTATAAAAATCTGGGGTTATATTCAAACACAATTAAGCAGTTTCAACTAGATAATAAATGTTTCTTGAGCAGCAAGTCAGCATATTCAAATGGTTTCGTGTGACACTGAAGACTGAATAGCTGCTAAAAATTCAGCTTTGCCGTCACAGAAAAAAATACAAATGTTAAATATATTATTAAATTAGAAAACAGCTATTTTATAAAGTAGTATTTCACAATTTGATGGTATTTGTGATCAAATTAATGCAGCGTTTATGTAAATAAGACTCTTCTTTCAGAAACTTTTGAATGGCAGTGTTCATTAAATTATATTTTACATAGACTATAAAAACTGATTTAAGGACCATTAAGATTTCTGTGCACTGTGACTCATACTCAAATATGAAAACATTTTAATATTATTGTAATAAAAAAATTTAATGGTATTCAAATTGTAAAGTACATTTGTCAAAAACATTTGACAGTATACTATATCGTATTTTTTTGTATTACATTTTTTTAAATGTATTAATTTATTATTCTTTAAGGAAAATGAACAGGATGACTTTTATGAGTAGGTTACATGTGTTTCCTGTCATTAGGATAATGAGAATTTGGGGTTAAATGTGTTCAATTATTTTAAATAATTACCATGAAAATAATGTCACGATTCAAAAGTCTTTTAAGGTCTTAATAAGCCTTAAAAATATTACCTTGACATTTTTCATGAGTCTCACTCCATCTGTCCT